GGTGGTCGTAGACCATAGCCCAGTACGGTGTCGCAAAAACGAAGTAGACTTTCGACCGCGTATGATTTCCGATGTAATTCTACTGGCTCTAGGGTGAGCATAAGACGAGGGGGCGGAAAGGGAGCATCCTTATCGGGGGAGTGGTGGTCGAGTGTTGCTGTTTGTTACGAAATAGGGAGATAAATAAACCCTAACCCCCACTCAAAAATCGGTATCAGACTGCCCGGTTAGCATCAGAGATTTCCCGTCGTATCCCATGATACATTCGGGCAGCTTCGATAAATCGATTCGGCTGGCGATAACAAACCCAAAGCCCGGTTTCTAGTGTAGGTCGATCTGGCCCTCCAATGCATTACATAAGATTTTGTCGACCGCCCGAGGTCCAGGCAGGCAAACCCCACGCCACTGTCAAGGTCATACTTGCCATCACCACCGACCTGAGCGACTTCTTCCTCTCTCCGCGCAACCCCATCCAACTCGTTGTTATTGGTGCATACACTGAGCACAAGGATGGGAAGGATCAACTCGTCCCAGTGGTTTTGACCCAGGGAAATCCACCTTCATGGCGCGCCGGGATGAGAGTGCTCAAGCTGGACCTGCCACTGCCACCGCAACCGATCGAGACCATTCAGATACGGCCCCTAGACCGGCAGCTCACGGCGATGGGGACCGGTGATGTTCTTCCCGGGAAACAAGGTCTGATCATGGCGGTTTATGCGGATATGCCGCGGCCGGGAGATGGACGTGCGCCTTCAGTGTGTTTCCGGAGCCTGCGACTGTCCGCTGGAGATGCCGCCGCTGCTGGAATTGCTGGTCAACCGCTGCAGATTGAAGAGGATCTGGGCGAGAGCATTGCGCGCCATATTTGGGATTCGGGTATCGTCATGGTCTCTCTCCTTGCGGATATGTGCTTGGATGACACAGTCAGTGCCAAAGAAAGCCCGCTGCCCCTCTTTCGCAGCATCCTCCAAACACCAAGCCACCCGCTTAGGATTCTAGAGCTTGGATGTGGCGTCGGAGTCATGGGTATCGGTTTGGCGCGCATCACGTCATTGAAGCGGGGAGGCAATGCACCGCATATTCTCATCACAGACCTTTCCGAGGCAGAGGAGAAGGCACGAGCGAATATGGCCCGTCAGGCAGGCAAACTCGGCAACTCGCCAGCGAGACTCGATTTTGAAGCCTTGGACTGGGAAGACGGGAAGAACGGTGTCTTTGGCGAAAAGGCTCGCTTCTGGCCCATGGGATCTTGTCGTTTTGTGTGATTGTACCTACAACACCGACACGCTGCCGCCGCTCGTCAAGACGCTCTCTGCGCTCCACAGCCACTCAGCGCAACACCCTTCAACTACCGAGCTGCCCGCCACAACCGAGGTGCTCGTTGCCACCAAGACCAGACACTCCTCGGAAAAAGTCTTCTTCAACTTAATGGCCGAAGATGGATGGGTCATTCGGGAGCAGACGGTGCTGCCGCTCCCTGTACTCGATGGCGAAGGACAGAGTGTGGAAGTTTATCTTTTTGGGAAGGCTGGCTGCTGAATGGGGCCTCTTGAGATGAGCGAGAAGAGCGACGGTGCAAGTTTTTCGAGGAAGGCACGACGAATGCGAAATTAAGAGGCCCAAGATACCTCAAATCGGGCGAGTCGAGGGAGAATACGCACCACTGTGGTGTAGAGAAGCATAATGGGTATACGAGGAAGGATTGGGCGCCACAGGTTCAAACCTCTGCGCCGAATGCTTATCCCCCCTTGTTGGCGGGTTTCTCACCTCCAGGACGGCGCGAACCGTAAACGTTGCCAAAATACCCGCGACAACTTGCTCAGCGGCACATGCGACTGCAGTGCCCCGACAAACGAGCGGGTTTCCTCCACTGCAGGTTTAGGTCGTGCGAAGCCAGGCAGCCACCCCGACAACGCAGTGGGAAGTGTTCCCTCTTCCTTCCCTAGAATGTCGGATTCAGCAGTGATTCTGGCGGGGCTTGGATATTGAAGTCTCGTTCCACCACACCAGTTGCATGTGTGATGTCGACCAATGGCACCTCTAAAGTTTGGTTGAGAATCGACAAAATCTCAAATAAATTCCCTCTCATTGGTCAGAATTTGACGGCCCAGCCAATCAAAGAACCAACGATGACCCGATCTGGTTGCTCCTGGCCCCGAAGCGGCGCTGGGAATCCACAGTTTCAGCTTGCAGCCTCGCCGCCAACAGCCAGGTGTAACATCGAAGACTTGAAAGGAAACAGGAGTATAAGTTGAAGTCCGTTGCGCATCCTCTATGCACAACAAGTTTTGACATTTCAAGTCCATCAACTCCCTTCTTAAATTGTGGTTATCAACCTGCCAACCGCTCTTCCTCGGCTCAACGCAACTCAACCAAACTCAATCCTTCCACCTGTCAAGCGTGCAGTAACGTTTGCCTCACTTCCACTCTCACCTTCCCAACCGCAGTCTGAAAACGACAACCACAACAACCACAGCAATGGCGTCCAAGCCCTCCACCTGCTGCGGCAAGAGCGCTGAGTGCATCTGTGGTAAGTCTACATCTTAACCCCCTCCGACTCGATCCTCTCTCTTCCTTCTTCTCTGCCCACCGCCACCCTCCTTGTTACCACCATCAGTGGAAGCGATTCATCTTCTATTCACCATCCTCCCTCGATCACGGCACCCCGGATCTTTCTCCCTTTCTTGTCGACTCTCCGCTAATCCTATCGCTTCCCTCCACGACTGTCTAGTCAGCCACTTGCTCGTGTGGCAAGCAACCGGCTCTACAGTGCAATCGCGACAAGGCCGCCGCCCAGAACTCGGTCGATGCTCCCGCTGCTCGTGGCAGTCGTCCGCTCTGCTCGGTCAGGGCCACTGCCCCTCCCCCTCGATCCCGACAACCTGGCGGTCTGGTGGTCAAGACTGGCAACTGTGGCTGCTCGTGGCCCTCTGGTGAGTTTTTCTTTTTCTTTTTTCTTTGTTACCTGCTCCTTCGACACCGGACATCTCCAGTAGCTAATGCAGACGTGTCAGGCCCCTGTGACGGCTCTTGCAACTGCTCTGGCTCCGAGGACGGTGCATTCGATCCGTCAGAGCACGAGACGGATTTCACGACCAAGAAGTAAATCTTGGCCTGCTTTGGACACGGAGCCATTGGTGGCCGGTCGTTGTTGATTGGCAATGAACTGGGTGCTGGACTGGCTGCCGTATCAGTTGACAGACTGGTTGCCGGACTGGGTGTTTGAGGTGTTTGAGGAGGGCGTTGTGTTGGTAATTTGTTTATGGGAGGGTGATGTGGCAGGGTTTCTTTTTCATTTGGACGACATCTTTGCAGTTGTTTTTGCAATGATTTCTGGGCCCCCGCCCAACCCGGACGACGGCGAACCGGCGGCCATGCCAGTCGATTTTATCACCCCCCCAGTGAGGTCCTTTTTCCTCACCACGACTCTCGAGCAGGAACTGCAGATGGAAGTGTATCTGCAACACTGGCTCGACAGGGCACGAGGGAAACCATGGGGTGTCATCGGACGGGTCAGAAAGCCGCGGAATAGGGCACAAAGAATCAGCCACCAACTCGGTTGCATGCGTTTAACTCCGGCGAGATAGACGATAGACGGGTATCCTTTTCATTTTTCTCTTTTATCAGCCACATCGTAATCACAAGCGAAGATTTCTGAGGATGATGCAAGAAAGAGAGTGAATGACTAGTGACCTGGCAACTTGATAAATGGCCTTACGGCCAACATGCGTGTTTACCTGGCCCCAATACCTTGCGACAAAGGACTTGGGAGTGTTGGCGCATGCCAAACATTCCAAGACACACGACGCGTTGGCAACACTGGCGGCGCGACGACGCCCAAAGTGGGTCATTGTGCAAAAGCTCAGGCCAGGCGCTCGCAGAAATCCGAACTCGCCAGACATCCATTGGAGAGAACAGGGGAGCTCCGTCACCGCCTGGCAGTATTCTCCAAAATTTGGAGACGACTGGGGTACCCGGGTACCTGCGGCGCACGGAACCTATGAGCTCATCCGAATTCCGGTATTCGAGTTGGGCCCAGATGGGATTCGAGATCGGGGTCAATTAAGGAATAAATCCGATCAATTGGATAATCCGAGATCCAAAGCGCAGAAAAAACGAGTGCTATTGTTCCGATTTTCACAGCGACAAGTATTATTCAATCCGAATGACAATCGCCGGATGCGGAATGGAGGTTATTGTGGAACCCCACGTTCCCTATTGAGGCGCTGCGCTGATGCCCCGGGAGCCAAAACAAAACTCGGGTTGGGGCCCAAAAAAATGGTCGCGCCTTGCAAGTCAAAATTCCCCAACCTTCTTCACTGAACTCTCTCCCTCTCGCTCGAACAACCAACCTGTTTTGTCAACAACTGCACTTTGAACAAAAGTTGTTGCATTATTGACTTGGTTCACCGACTGGATTTATATACATCGCGTCTTGTTCGCTCAAATCTACCCTTTTTATTTGCAATTTATTGCATCGTACCGCCCTCTACATTCCGCGCATCAAACCACATTCAACGATGCCTCCCAAGAGAGCTGCCGCTGCGGCGAGCGATGCCGCTCCGGCCCCCAAGAGAACTAGAACTACTACAGCAAAGAAGGTAGTCGAAGAGCCCGAGGCTGAGTCGGCCAAGAAGGCCGCCGCGCCAAAAAAGACGGCTACCACAACAAGGAAGGCTGCTGCGCCCAAGAAGACCGCCGCGGCTAAGAGTCCCCCCAAGAAGGCTGCTGCGCCCAAGAAGGCGGCCGCTCCGAAGAAAGCCGCCGCCGCTAAGAAGGCTGCTGTCCCGGCGCGCAAGAACGCCGCTGGGGAGACTGAGGAATCGGACAAGGAGAACGAGGCCGAGGCCGCCAAAACCAATGGCGTGAAGCGCCAGCTCGACGGCGAGCTCAGCGAGGCCGAAGATGACGTCGCGGACGATGCTCAGACCAACGGCGCGGGCACCAAGCGCGCGAAGAAGACCGAGGCGGCCGCTGCCCCGGTGAAGAAGAAGGTTGCTGCCAAGGCAGCTCCCAAGCGCGTCGCGCGCGCGCTCAAGGCGATCAACGAGCCTCCTTCGCAGGTCATGGACATTTTTGTGTTCGGCGAGGGCACCGCTGGCGAGCTCGGCCTCGGCAGTGTTCGCGTCGACGGCAAGAGGCCCATTGACGTCAAGCGCCCGCGTTTCAACACTAACCTCAAGGGCATCGTGCAGGTTGCCTGCGGCGGAATGCACGTTGCCGCCCTGACCAAAGACAACAAGATCCTAACTTGGGGCGTCAACGACCAGGGCGCGCTCGGTCGCGACACCACCTGGGACGGCGGTCTGAGGAATGTTGAAGACGAAGATGAGGATTCTGATGACGAAGACGACACGGGCATGAACCCCAAAGAGAGCACCCCCGCCGAGGTCGATATGACCGACGTTCCTGAAGATGTCAAGTGGGTGCAACTCGTCGCCAGCGATAGCGCGACTTTTGCCTTGACCACGACTGGCCAGGTTTACGGATGGGGCACATTCCGAGTAAGTCCACGCATGATCTATTGGTTGTCGCATGCTAACAAGTATTTACCAGAGCAACGAAGGCATTCTTGGCTTCAGCAAGAGCGTCCTGGTCCAGCGCACTCCGGCCCTTGTCCCCGAGATCTCCAAGATCAAGCAGCTCGCCGCCGGCCTGAACCACGTGCTCGCTCTCGACGAGAAGAACAAGATCTACGCCTGGGGCGCCGGCCAGCAAGCCCAGCTCGCCCGCCGCCTCCTCGAGCGCGATGACAGCGCCGCGCTCTATCCCACCGGCATTGGCGCACTTCCCGGCCGTGCCAAGGCTGACAAGCTCGCCTGCGGCTCATACCACTCGTTTGTCATCGACACCAAGGGACGCGTCGTGGGCTGGGGCTTGAACAACTACGCCGAGCTCGGCGTCGAGGACGAGGCTGGCCAGGACGGCGGCTTCGTCATGCGCCCGCAGCTGATCACGGCTCTCGAACCGTACGAGGTGACATGCGTCGCCGGCGGCGAGCACCACTCGCTAGCCTGCACCAAGGACGGCGAGCTCCTCACGTGGGGCCGCATCGACGGCCACCAAGTCGGCCAGCCGTCTGGGTCCTTCTCAGAGAGCAACGTCATCTGGGACGAGCGCAACCAGCCCCGCATCCTGGTGGTTCCCACCATCGTGCCGGACATCAAGGACGTCGTCCACGTCGCTGCGGGCACCGACCACTCCTTTGCTATTACCAAGGAAGGGAAGGTTTACTCGTGGGGTTTCTCCAGCAACTACCAGACCGGTCAGGGCACCACCGATGACATCAAGGAGCCCACGCTCATTGACAACACTGCCATCCGCGACAGGAAGATCATCTTTGCTGGCGCGGGCGGGCAGTACGGCATTGTCGGCGCATTGGCTGAGGAGAACTAAAATAAGAAATGCGGGCAATGGAATGGATATAGGAAAGCCCTACTTGGCTTGCTGTCTTTTGGAAGAAAGACACTTGGATGGGTGTTGGCGTTAGGATCCAACACTGGCACGACGCAAGCGCCGACGCCGGTCTCGTCTTGTTGATTTCCCCGATGGACTCGGGCGACGGTTGCTGGCATGCGCAAATGCATGATGCATGCATATATGGTCGAAATGATGGCTTGGAGATGGGCGCGATCCGCCTTCGCCCCGACTTGATGAGTCGGCAAGGGGCGCCTTTGTTGTCTCTGGAACCCGGGCTGGTAATGGGCCTTGTATTTCTCTGTTGCTTTTGCTAACTCTTTGCTTTTGGGGCTTCATCCTCTCTGGCCTGGTTTTTTGATGATTGGGGGCCGGGTTTTATCTTCATCTCGGATTTGGGGCAGGCGCGTGCTCTATATCGCATTATTGAGCTTGTATCCGAGTTTTTTTGCTGTGGCCCTGCGACTTGGGGCGAGGGAATTGCTATTTTGCTAGGCGTATAGGACGGCATTGGCTGGTGTTTAAAGATCAATGGAATTAAAGTTCAATCCAATTGTGCTGCTGCTGCTACTGCTGTGTGCTTGATGGTCGTGGTGTTTGCTGACAACTCATGTTCGACCCGCCTCTGGGTTTCAGTGATGTTTCCTCCATCAGCTGTGCTTGCCCCGTTAGATTCATTTTTACTTGAACCAGTGTCTACGCCCATTACTTAGGTTCTCTATCCCCGCACGGCGCTGAGGAAACGGGATGATCTCATCATTGTCTCGATATACCACTATCGGCACCACCCCTTGCCCATGAGCGTAACGTACAACAAGCTCTATAGTTACAACCCCACCCAGCAAACCCTCTACCACCGCACCCAACCTCGACCCCCATCCCGCTACCAACCACCAGCCCCCGACTAAACCAAACCAGTCCTAAATCCCCCCAACACCACCACCACCCCCAACGGCCCCCCCACCCGCCGCGGCCACCTTCACAAACGACCCACTGCCGCGGCTACTAAACACGGCAATGATGCCGAACCCGACATAGAACAGCGCCAGCGGGTAAGCGACCAGGGCACGCATACCACGCATGCCGCCGACGGCGCAGAAGATGCCGCTCGCGCTCCACGTGCACCACATGATGGCGGCGCTGGTCAGCGTGATCCCCGCCGGCTTGTCCATCGGCATGAAGATCCCCACCAGGCTGGTGCTGACCAGCGGGAGCAGGCAGTACCCGAGCACGGAGGCCGAGCGCGCGAAGGTCAGGTTGCTGCCGCCGCTGGTGGTGGTGCCGGGGGCGTGGGGAGAGGGGTTGGAGGCGCTGCTGCTGTAGGAGGGGGCGGTGGGGTTGGGGGGGCCGCCGGTGGTGGGGTCGAGGTGTTGGCTGGGCGCCATGAGGGACAGGATGCCGTGGAGGAGCACCGAGCCGAGCACGGCCAGCCCGTAGATGTACCCGAAGTGTACGCGCCCCGAGAGGAGGAGGAAGGTGCCGTAGAGGAGGAAGAAGAAGAGCGGGCCGGCGAGGTCGCTGTCATCCATGAGGTGCTGGTCGATGCGGCTGAAGGGGTTGAGGACGGCGAGGGTCTGGTTGGGAGGGTGGTTGTTAGCATGGTGGGAGGAGGATAATGGGGAATTGGGTGGGTGGTGGGGGAGGGTGGGAATACCTTTGTTCCGATATGTCCCACGTTCACGCCTAGCTCTTCTAGCAGCGGTGGCTCGCCGGGGTAACCCTCTGTTGAGAAGGCGGCGAGCCAACCCGTCTGGAGACCGCCCTGCTCGCCCATGCGCCCGGACACGTCTGCTGGGTCTCCAAAGCCGGAATTAAAGGAGGCGGATGCGCCGTAGGCTCCCGACGAGGGCGCGCCGTAGCCGTAGGATGCTTGTGATGGCGTCGCATGGCCCGAGACTGGTTGTGCATAGTTGGACGAGTAAAACTGGAGGTTCTGAGCACCGGTCGGAGTGTACCCCTGGTTCGGCGGTGCGCCGTAGTATTGTGACATTGTGGCGAGGTCGTAGAAAGAAAAGTTGTTTGGGTTGAACCAGCGTGTTATCCCGTTAATTGGTGACTTATTTGTTGAGAATCGCCGACGTAAGGAAACGTAGATTAATGAGCGTGGTGGTGTTGGCGGTAGTAATTGTGGTCGACAGCGCTGACAGCTTCGTTGTTCTATGAAGTTGCGATCTTGCTTCTCCAGGAATACGCATGCCTCAGAAGCACAGCACAAGCTCCCTTCAACCCTGGTCAAGACCATGGCAGCTGAAGGCTTGGCGGTCGAACGCTGATTGTCAGCTGGCAACCAGCCCAGCCGGCCAGCGAGGGGCAAGGGACCAGCCGGCCGAAAAGATCCCGGCAATCGGCGGCAGGGTCACTTTTTGGCCGACAATTTTTTGAGCCAAGGCGAGATGGAGGCTCCGTCATGCCATTTGCCGTTCCACGGGATTCGAAAAAACATCGCGACACTACGACGACGGCCGCACTCCCAAAGGCCTCCCCGCATACACTCTCTTACCAACAAGACGGCGAGCACAGCGGCCGACGCTTGCGATTAATACACAATGGTGAGTGAGAATAGGGACCCCTCCACACATCTCCGGCGACACACTTGTTGCTCCCGCCATCATCATCGCCGTTGCCGTTGCCGTTGGCATCGCAATCGCAACCCTCCATTCTACGCCCCCCTTCCCCACAACCAGCAACTAACCTCATACTTCTCCCAGGCCTACCGTCTCATAACCCAAGTCGTCATAGTTGGCACCCGCGTGGTCGGCCGCGCCTTTGCCGAAGCCTACAAGCAAGCATCGGCCTCGAGCCAGTACCAGCGCGCGCAAGCCAAGTCAGGCAACGGCGGCGTATCGGGGCGGGCCAGCCTTAGCAGTGGCATGACTCTCGAAGAGGCTTGCAAGATTCTCAACGTAAAGCAGCCCCAGGGCGGCAAGGCCGACTTGGAGGAGGTCATGGAGCGCTTCAAGCGTCTGTTCGACAACAACGATCCCAAGAAGGGCGGTTCCTTCTACTTGCAGAGCAAGATTCTGCGTGCGCGAGAGCGGATTGAGGCCGAGGTGAAGCCCGCAATAGAGAAGGCCGCACAAGAAGCAGAAACGAAGGAGGGGTGGAACCCCAAGATCTACAAAGACAGGTAGTCGGGTTCGCCTTCTACCGCCACGTCCGCCTTCTGGTCCTCACAACACTTGAATACCAAGCTCAAGAAGGCGGGCATGGCGGACAGAAAACAAAAAGAGGTGCGACCGCGGGACGACGATATCTCCCAGCAAAAGAGCGATGGGAAACGGTTCTCAGCGGCGTACCCAGGGGAGCTCAGGGCAACAACCCTGCGGCTCTCATGTACACATCTTCACTCGACTTTGGGCAAGCCTGGCGTTGCGGTTGGGATTTAAGGCGGTGGACATTTGGAGCGCATTGGGTTAGACAGCCATACACCGCCCGCTATTCACCGTTTTGTTTTCATATATGTATCATATCGGTGTAAGCTAGGCGAGGGTTGGCCGCAACCTATGGACGGATGGTGCATCTAGACAGATGGAGGCAGGATTTGGGCCTGATCTAGCGGAGACGGGGACGAAAGAAACGATGACTCTCGAAGGATTTGGGCTTTGAGCCGCGCCCCTCGCCTCTATCGTACTCATTCACCGTTTGATTCCGCGAATTAGCCAGAAGGCTTGAGTAGGGTATGTCCGGCCCGGGCGGTGTCCGGAAACCGGGGACCCAGTGTGATCCTCGCGGCGATCACGCAGCCAGTCAACGGCACAATCTACAACGCGAACCTGGCGGCGATCGTATAATGAGACTTGAGTATATGACGTCGTTGGTTGCTTTGGACCGTCATTCATCAATTCCAATCATCCACGCCAGCCACCAGCCTGGTGTTCAAAGTATCTCCGAGCAGCACCATGCCGATGGTGCAACAGGCAGGGGGCTAAGTAAACAGACAATTCAACAGTCTCCTCTCACCACATATTATGATAACCACACACACACACACACACACAATTTATTCCGCCCGGCGGGCCTAACCCGAAAGGGCAACTATCATGCAATCTACTAATACATATCCTAAAATCGATCCTGGGCTCATGAAGCCCGTACATCCTCCTTTTCTGGCTTAACTCCTTACAGTCTTGCCCTCTCTGCTGCGGGTGCTCGTGGGTTAGTAGTACGAAAAGTAAGCTGGCTTGAAGGCTAGTCTCCAAGTGTCCAACGTCCTATCTTCGGCGGCTGAAGCGCGCTTACTCGGTGTGGCACGAGATGAAGGAGGGGTGTTAAGTCGGGATTTAGGATGGTGAGGTTAGTTTGCTTCATTCTGTTGTTGTTGTTCTGTCCTCAGACGACCTGTGGTAATGGCAAAACGTATCGTCGCCCGCACCGCCCGCATGTTGGGGGACCAGTCCTTGTCATCCGAGGGCGACTTTCCTCCCAGGTAGAAGGAGAGGTTCCCCCTGTGGACATCCGTACATTGCAGCATCTCCCTACGGTGTTGATCCCATTGCTTGCATCGGAAGAGGAAGTGGTCCACTGTCTCTCTGGCTTGTCCGCACGTACACTGATCTGACGGTGCTGCTTTGATGCGATGCAGGTATGTGTTGAATACGGAGGGCTGTTGACCGCATGGCAGGATCCTGGGTTTGTGGCGTAGCGTCCCGCCGCGTTGCTTCCTTTGATTTCGCTTTGGCTGTGTTCAGGAGCTCGTTTTTGGTACCCGCTTGGATCCAGACCACCGAGATCGTGTTTCCCGCCTTGCGTAAGGCACTTATCGCATCGTACGCCTGACAGAGATATTGTTGCCCTGATTGCTGGTGTGGTCGCTCCAAGACCATCACGGCTGCCTTGTTGCTGGTGGCAAGGATGATCTTCCGGTACCTGATATTTCGAATCCACCTCAACGCGTACCCAACAGCCGCAAGCTCGCCTGAGAATGGGTTTTGCTCCGACATGGAGCCCAGCGTCACACTGAAGGCTTTGTCCCTTGAGCCCTCTCGCATCGGCAGCGGGAGGCGGACGACTCCTCCGATCCCTACCATATTGTTTCGTGCACACACACACACACACACACACACACACACAATTTAACTGTTTCGTGCAGTAGAGACCGAAATGAGTGTCCATAATTTCGATGTTCAAACTTTCTCCGCATGGACCGTTGGAACCCTGGGCCGGGGCTGACACAGTGCGCTTCTGGTCGCTTCGTACCAAGTACAGATTACAAGGTCAGGCCTAAAACTGGGCGACAGCTCCAAAATTGGCTCCAGCTAAGACGGTGGCGGACAGCCGCACTAGCCGCTTTGGGCGGCCCGCATGGTTGCGCGCCTCGGTGCTGCAAAGGAGATCGCCTGGCGACCCTGTAGCAACAGGCCGCTAAGCTTGGCTGTACACGTCACCACAGCCATCTTACGAAAAGCACTGACGAACCATAGGGAGCACGAGAAGCACCTCGAAGGTACTCGAACACTGTTGCAGTTTATAAAACAATCAGCTCTCCCACACCCTTCCTGTGGCACGCTATGAAAGAAAAAAATGAGAGGGGAGAACAATGCACGGTAATTCAGTCAGAAGAGAAGTGTAGAAATGTCACCTCCCCAGACGTGTGTCCCAAGACCATTGAGTGCTTGTGTACCGATACGCATCGTGCGCGGTAATCAGGAGGAAGCCAGAGAAGCTTTTTCCCATCTCGAGTGATCCAATCATTGACTAACAAGAGAGTAGCTGACGGCTTGATAGAAGTGTCCGAAACACCTGAAGACCCGGAAGCGCATGAGAAGGCTACGGCGTAGACCGCACTGCTATGCCCCTTGAGCGTCTGCTGGTGCGCGCCCGTTGCTGCATCCCAGAGCCGGATTGTATCATCGTATGAACCCGTCGCGACCGTCCTGCCGTCCGGTGAGAAGGCTACGGCGTAGACCGCACCGCTATGCCCCTTGAGCGTCTGCTGGTGCGCGCCCGTTGCTGCATCCCAGAGCCGGATTGTACTATCGCCTGAACCCGTCGCGACCGTCCTGCCGTCCGGTGAGAAGGCTACGGCGTAGACCGCACCGCTATGCCCCTTGAGCGTCTGCTGGTGCGCGCCCGTTGCTGCATCCCAGAGCCGGATTGTACTATCGCCTGAACCCGACGCGACCGTCCTGCCGTCCGGTGAGAAGGCTACGGCGAAGACCCAATTGCTATGCCCCTTGAGCGTCTGCTGGTGCGCGCCCGTTGCTGCATCCCAGAGCCGGATTGTATCATCGTCTGAACCCGTCGCGACCGTCCTGCCGTCCGGTGAGAAGGCTACGGCGGAGACCCCACTGCTATGCCCCTCGAGCGTCTGCTGGTGCGCGCCCGTTGCTGCATCCCAGAGCCGGATTGTACTATCGTCTGAACCCGTCGCGACCGTCCTGCCGTCCGGTGAGAAGGCTACGGCGTAGACCGCACTGCTATGCCCCTTGAGCGTCTGCTGGTGCGCGCCCGTTGCTGCATCCCAGAGCCGGATTGTCTCATCTGCTGAACCCGACGCGACCGTCCTGCCGTCCGGTGAGAAGGCTACGGCGCGGACCGAACTGCTATGCCCCTCGAGCGTCTGCTGGTGCGCGCCCCATCCCGCCCTGATCCCTGCGACCGACCTAATGAATGAAAGCCTTTCCTTCCAAGACTCCTCTCTAACCTCACTTAATCTCGGACTGAACACAAGCGCAGAGCCGTATATCTGTAATGGAGCCCGCTCCATAATCGAACCATGGCTGAGAACAAACCTTTCCGTGTCTTTTAGAAATCTTATTAGACTGGGCGCGGTATTCGTACCATGACCGAGAACAAACTTTTTCGCTTCTTTTAAAAGTCTTTTCAGGCCAAGCGTGGTCTTCGTTCGTAGCTAGTTTAAATTAGTTAACGTCGGGACCTTTATATTGTTACGCCAGCACGAGTTGACATACCTGAGTAGCAAGAAGAAGCTTTCTTATCGATGCTACCCCATGTGAGAGTTTCCTAATAAGAGACAAAGACTCCAGCCAGTGAAGTAGGTGATCTCTCAGAAACTTCGATACCATCCCGTCGTCCATCAGTTCACTCGAGCATGCGGGGTTCTCGCCGTTCGAGAAGCAAAGGTGATCAATCCAGAACTCGCAAGAGTATCGTATCGAAGCTAGCGGATCTGGATTCGGCACTTGAACGTTGTCGATCAGTGTGCCGGGATTGCCTATGCCGTAGATGTCACGTCGCAGTAACGTACACTCGCCATATGACTTGGTCATTGCGCCGAGCGACCGCTGGAAGATGCCATGGTGGCCGGCTGCGGAACCAGACGGGATGATGGTCGATGCGCCCTTGTTGACCAAGTAGTCCTTTGCTGACTGGTGTACAAAGGAGACTGTTTCGTCGCGGACCGTAAGAAAGGACCCGCTCTTGTTGATGATCTCCCGAATGTTTTCGGTGTTGCTGGAAATCGTGTCTGGCAGTCCGGCTACTACGCCTAGCTCCAGCAGCTGAAGCGGACGGTAGGCCAGTGTGGCGGCTAAAAGAACAAGCCGACAGTACCCCTTGTTCTCTTCTTGCAGTTTGCAATACCCCTGGTCCTCTTTTTGTAATGGGCTAATCTGCTTTATCATCCGAGCGTACAGCTGGTCAAGACCTTTCGGCACGTCGTCCACCACCTGCCGCACATTCCAGTTGTGGTTGTTTTTAAGGCTCTGGACGACGAGGGCCACCCACAGGAACGTACCCTCGGCCTTCTGGTGTAGGACCCGCTGAACGTATTGCTGGAGTGGAGGGTCGTTCAGTAGAGAACTAATCTTAGATGTCCTGTCGGCAATATAAGCAGAGATAGCTTGGGATACAGAATCTGCATTCTCCCGGAGTTCGAGGCTCACGATCGATTGCGAATGCTCTAGCCGTGTGCGCGGTTTGATGGTGTTCCGGCTAGAGATGAGCCACTTGACGCAGGGCAGCTGTGCTTCCTGGAGGATAAAGTCCAAGAGCTTGTCTTGGTCCTCGACGCATTCGTCAATAGCGTCGACGATTAGATATACTGTCTGCAGGTTTCGATCACGCAGGATGCCCTTAACGATATCGCACAATGCCGACAAAGCTTCCGTATCCCCAAAAAGCGGCTCTCCTGTATCCTTGAATCTGTCCTCTACGTGCGAGCGAAGCGACGGCTGCTGCTTATTCACGAGCATATAGATCAGACCGCGCAGGACAGCTTGAGCGTTGCTGAGCTTGGGGACGGTGGCCTGGCAGAAAAAGTACGACAATAGGCTGGTTGCATCCGGTTTCCTCAACTTTGTCTCTGGTTCCAGCTCGTCGATGACGCCACAGAGGAGCATCGTCTTGCCCTTGCCGGGGTCGCCCTTGATCCAGAGCAGCCGCGTGTCTTCGTCGTCGCGCCATTGCCGGAAGTCAGAGTGGTCGAGGATCCAGCGGTATGATTCCTTCAAGGGCCTGTCCCTTGTTTGTTGGATGCCCGTCTTGACGTCGCGGGGGTCGGTTGTGCCCAGGTACGCCTGAGGGAAGCGGTTTTTGTCTTTGTGTTGGAAGGCTTGCGTCAGACTGGAACGGCTTGAACGTAGGGTTATGCTCAAACCTACCCGCAATATGATAGTGTGCTTCGTACTTGCTGGGACATCATGCGTTAATACTACCGCTTGAAGTAAGATGGCCGCCTACAGGTTTCTTACGAATTATATGCGGGACCAGCATGCTGGACTGGTGCTTGGATATCGAAAGGCATGGGGAACTGCGCCGGGTGGGCCATTGTCGGCCGCTCTGGGATACTCCGCGCGGATGCGGGGTCAATCCTGGCGGCACCGCTGGCAAACCGTTGACGGGCTGGAAAATGGGAAAGCTGGGTTGAAAGGTCGTTGCAGGAAGTTGGACGCCGGCTTGGCCAAACGCTGCCGTCGGCGGTAGTTTGGGGCGAGCGATACTGCTACTGTAATAAACCGGCCTGGAGGGGGAAGCGGGCACGGAGTTGGCAACCCCCAGTTCTCGCCCGCGAAAACGCGCAGACCCGTCATTGACGCCCAACACATGCAGCTGCTCCCTTACGGAGGTGCGGCTGAGATTGGCACAGCCGATTTTGGCATATCGCTCGCCAACCTGGCATGGCCGGCGACCGACTTCAGGTAGCTCGACGAATCGCAATGCATTCACAGCCTGACTTGCAGGTTGCTGCGGCATGCAGAAGTTTTGCATGTCGCAGCAAGGCCGCCGGCACGTCTACGTCCAGTCGGCACAAATACCCCCCCACAAGCTCGCTGGCAAGTCCATGTTAGGCTCCTCAGAACCTGTGATCATCAACCTATCTACCTGAATCGATATATCAGATACATATACGAGTCGAGATGGCGGGCGTCGAAGTAATCGGAGCGGTGTCTGGGCTGGCCGGCCTCTTCAACACGACCATCACCTGGTTCGATTATATCCTTGTCGCCAAGCAGGCGGCTCCGCGGCTGCAGTCGCTGCTGGTGAAGCTCGACGCCGCGCAGCTGCGGCTGACGCGCTGGGGTAAGGCGGCCGGCCTCACAGGCTTGCGGATCGAAGACGAAGAGTCGCTGAAGAGCTCCGAGTCGTTCCAGCTCGACGAGCAGCAGGAGCAGCAGGCGATCCGGACGTTCCGCACCGTGGCGGCCCTCTTCGAAGAGTGCCAGAAGCTCTGCCACCGCGAGCGTAACGGCAAGGGCGAGGACGATCCTGGCGTCAGGGAGAACGAGATCAGCCCGTTCGGTACGGTCGGGCCGAACTGGAACCCCATGCACCGTTATCTCCATGGGAAGATGCGAGATATCGCCGACGGGCGCAGGAACAAGGTCTCAGTCGCGCAGCGGGTCAAGTTCGCCATCTACAAGAAGGAGCACCTCGAGAGGTTCATCAAAGACATCAACGACCACATCGACGAACTGTACAAGATCTACGAGCCGCCCAAGGAAAAGGAGAGCGAGCTCGGCAAGGGTGAGTTGGTGGAGCTTCTTGAGGTCGTGAAGGAGTTGGCCATCGCTTCCGACCGCGATCCCGTCGTGCACTCTGCGGTGCGGAATATTCTCAAACAAGAGGCAAGTGGAGACTGGTTGGCCTTGCCGTTTGATACTTGTGGCTGACGACATGCAGAACAACGATACGACCTACAACATAAAGGGCGGCACAGCGATGAATGTGGGAACTCACCAGGGCGGCCAGTACACAATGAATCTTGGGGCCGAAAGAAGTGGTTACAAATGAAGCCAGACGATTAGCGTTTGCCAGCGCCCTGGGCCGGGGCACGTCGCAGGGCCCTGCAGGGAAGGAGGAATAACGGCATGATCTTTAGGATGGAAGACAAGTGCTTAAAGCGTAGGAAAAATGCGAATAATACATACACCACGGTAGTTCACCATCGGTCAGAGCTACACATGATCGGCAATGCGCATCGGGAAGGTTTGCTATTCGCACTGGTTCGGTACTTGGCTGGAGACATCGAGGCCCTTCGAGAGTCGGAACTGCTCGCCGTTTGGCGGCCAAGAATAAGTCCAGCATCCGCTAGAGCGAATCCCTGTCTGTGGCCAATCGTTTCGAGCTTCCAGCTCAGCCTGCGGTGACGTCCGTACTATAGTGCGTGACAGACGACGTGGCAGGCGTCTGCAAAATCGACGTTCGCAGCACAGGCCGTCATGATGCCTTGTCCGTACGATGTGTCGAGCGGGCTGTCACGACCGGCGGCCTGCGGGACTGGGGGGTTCGAAGCCCCCGCATGTGTTCAGCTCTCCCACATCTCCCAGTGGCCCACCACAGCCGCCCTACACGGTCTTTCTCTACCGGTGGAGTGTGCCGACCTTGACTTCCTTTGCTCGCAACGTCGCGAGGTCGCGCCATCGTCCAAATCATGGAGCTACCTGATAGCAGGAGACATCACGGCTCGCCGCTTCGCGCAGGGGTATGGTTTGGCAACGCAGTGTGATTCAAAGGAGGGGCACATGGTTACGACGCTCTCCAAACAGAAGCAAGCCAATGACCTGATCTCTGCTGCTGCCGCGAATTAGACAATGGGAATTCTTGGTGAGTGCTTTGGGTCCTATGGGAGCTGCGGTCGGGCCTCAAACTGTGCTACAAGGTCTTGCGGCCGCGAGTCTACACCCAGCCCAACCCCGCCGCCCATTCGACCACGGGATTATCAACCCCGATTTCAGACTCGCCTCCGGCGTTGTTTAGTTTCTACCAACTCCGTCCGACGATACCTGCAAGCTCTTCTTCCCACCCTCCGGATTGTTCTGTTTGCCTACGAGATCTCGGGAGATACGTATTCGGGGAACGCGAGGCGCGGAAGGAAAGCGGGACAATCCCGCTCGCAGGGAAGAGGAATTCGAAGCAGCTTAAGACTCGGAATACGTCATCGACATCGGTCTAAGGCGCCCGGCGCGGGTCTTCTCCCAAGCTGCCGACGTTGGGATGGGGCTGTCTTGCGTGTTGTTCTCCTGGGTACGGAAAACCGGCCCCTCCGGCTGATTTTCGGTAAATTGCCGCGAGTGCCGTGGTTTCGACGCGCTGACCAGCCAGCCGCAGGGCTGTTTCCAGTCATCGGTCAAGCGCCAGATTCAGCTTCGACGCATGAAGTCGCCACCATGGCTAACCTCAATTTCGATATAAGCGAGTGGTATAACGAGGATGATCTCAACTACCGAACTCCCGAACTCAATCATGGGAGCCCCAGCGCGAGTCCAGCCCAGGTGGACCAGCCGCAGAGAAGCAGACCAGGGCTGCCATTGCTCCAGCTGACCGACTGGAACCCGAACCTACACTGCGACGAATTCCCGCCTACGTGCATCCGTTACTCTATCGAGTGGAAGCTGCTATTGAAGAAAGGAAGACTGTCAAAGCTTACAAACGATACAGAACAGAACCTCGTGCTAGCGACGGGACCTTTTTGAGACCAGACCCTGAAGCCGAAACTGCTGTAGCTGTTGGCGAAGAAGACGCCGCGAAATAAGTGCTACGAACCAGACGAAACGAACGTTGTCGTATCCGTTGCCGACCGCTCACAATGAGATCTCACAAAACGTTTCGACGAGCTGAGCGGTGGATGGAGGCGTTATCCATTACGAGGACGGATTTCGGCGCCGGCCATTTACCACAATGCTGCAGCAGTTGCTCAATAAAATCCTCAAATATTACGGTATCAGTGGGTCCAGTGTAGATACGTGCGAGCTCCACGCCATTTTGTGTATATGCGGCAAGAATCTGATATTTTCGCGCTTGAACTCGTCAACCTGCACCGGTGTTGCTCCGCTCGGCGCCCATCCCTGGCGCCGGTGGCCACTCCGCTTATCACAACCAGACTCGTGAATAAAAACAAGCTGAGGTCGGGGTTCTGTTGTTTCGCTACGCGACCATCGGTCTTTCTGGTCCATCTTTCCGTCTTCAGGGTTCGGGAAATGGTGGTCGGGGACACCTCAAGGCCGAAGCCATCGTACAGGAAACGGATCATCTCGTATCGAAACATGCCGGGTCGTTTTGCTAGCTGTCCAAACAATGCATCGCGCATAAGAGGGGCTATCTTCGACTCGCGGCCGACGCGGTTCGGAGGGCTTGTCGTTGTTCCGAATCATTGAACTCTCGATCGAATTCTGCGGACTGCGTGCTCAACTGCACTCAACGGTTTCGGCTATCACGTTGTTGGGCAACTCACGGAGTATCATAGCATGGATCTGTTCACGTTGGGACGGAGCAAGTTGTGGCGCCATCGGGTACTATAACATTTGACTATCGGCGTGAGGTTATCCGCATCTCGAAGCCAGGTGGTCAATGTCTGAGTCATTGGTTAAGCCACACTGGTAGTGTGGCTGGAACAGAACTGAGGCTGGAGAAGCTGTCCTGTTGGCCCATGCCACTCAAGCAACGATCTATCTGCGCTTCAATCTTGGCCGCGACCAAGCAGCTGTTTCAGTTCAGGCCAAACTCCTAGTCTTCTTCAAGCTGTTATGAAGATGCAAACCGCTAATCCGTCAATCCTTCCTTGCACTTACACTGCAATTTTAGCCTCTGCGACCGATTTTCTGCGCGAGCGCCCGTCCGATCCCGCGACCCGAGCCAAAGCTGCCGCACAATGAGGATTCACGACCATTCCCTTCCCGCGCGACCGCGGAGGCATTCCCGACCAGATCAACAAGCGATTTTCCGAGCCAGCCCCCTCGAGTGGCTCTCATCGGCCCGGGCGATGTCGACAAGCTGGCCGCCGAGTATGCCCCTCGGGCTCGCTGTAGGGTAGTCGACATGGATGTTCGTGGTTCATCCCAGCTCGCAGGTGTTGTGGAAATCGCTTCGCGACGGTCGCCGACGCCGTCCATTAACGCGCTAAAAAATGTCCACCAATATTCCATAGCTGGCGGACGATTAGTTGTACGACGACCGTAACGACAGATGGATGATATTAACAACGCTGCTGACCGCGAGGTGTCTCCTTGGGCGGCCACTCAGGACACACCTACCACCGTCGAAACGGGTCGATCATCGCCTAGACACGGGACAAGCGCACGGGTTCAACGGGCGGCAGCAGCATCATCGAAATGCCCCGCGAGGATACCGTCGAAGCTTGGATCACCCTTGCGTCAAGAAGGGTTGTGTGACTGTTGCAAGGCACACAATGCGGAGATGATGTAGAAGGCTCGTGAGAAGAAGCTGGAATAGTAGGATGTAGCGGCTCCACCCAGGATATCAAAATCTCGCCCTGGTACTTTTTGGATCGAGGTGATAGGTATCACGGGTGGAATCGCCATGGTAGGAGTCAACCTGTATATTGTGTGATTGCACGAGGAACCGAATGTGGGAGGCGGGGCGCGCCCAGGAAAACCCTACACGATGCCCCACTTCGAAGTCCCGGCTTACACAGTATACCTACAGCCCCAGGAACCCCACTTTACAGGGCCCCACTTTGGGGTCCAGCCGTGCAACCCTAACCCTACAAGGAACGGGCTGTGCCCGTGACAATAGGGGGCCGAGAGCCGGAAGTGCAGGTTATGGAGGCGATGAAGACGGAGCCTGCGGCGAATCACGCTGACACGCTGGCCCCAACATTGCGTTCACGTACGGGAAACAGGGCCGGTGGGTGGATGCCGAGAAGCTGGGGCGTCGGTGATGGGGACTCGAAGACGAAGCTTGGGGTCGATCACGTTGATACGCTCGTGAGTAGTACAGTACAACCTTCCTTTCCTCGGGGGATCAAGGTCGACACTCAGCTCCCTTACAAGAGCACCGACCGCATGAGAGGGACTGTGCCCAGACGCAGCAAAGTGTGCTTGCGGTGAAGCATCTGGGTAGGCCGCGATGTGTGGCCGCTGTTGGTAGCTGGAGTACTTTGTAGCTACGTACTGTACAGTAGAATGTGTTCTGTGGTTTGCGTTACATGTAATGAGAACTCGGCCAGAGTTCTTCATACTTTCTGTTACCGCGAGAAGGGGCCCATTATTATGCAGCTATCGGGCATCATCATCTTTGTCATCGACCGATCTCCTTGCAAAGCCGCGCAACCATCGATTGCCAAAAGCAGCTAGTGCGTTGTCTGTGCCATCGGCTGCCGCTAATTTTGGAGCCGCAGCTGCAGCCCAGTGACGGAGCAAAACCCATTCTCAGGCGAGCTTGCGGCTGTTGGGTACGCGTTGAGGTTGATTCAAAATATCAGGTAATTACCGGAAGATCATCCTTGCCACCAGCAACAAAGCAGCCGTGATGGCCTTGGAGCGGCCACACCAGCAATCAGGGCAACAATATCTCTGTCAGGCGTACGATGTGATAAGGGCCTTACGCAATGTGGGAAACACGATCTCGGTCGTCTGGATCCAGGCGGGCACCAAAAACGAGCTCCTGAACACAGCCAAAGCGAAAGCAAAGGAAGCAACGCGGCAGGACGCTACGCCACAAACCCAGGATCCTGCCATGCGGTCAACAGCCCTCCGTATCGCATGGACAAAGCGAGCAGCGCCCACGTGCTTACCTGACAAAGTGGGCAGACATTCCAAGAGAGTCGATATAGCGTTACTCGGGAAGCACACTCGACTATTATATGACCACCTGTCCCGAAGCGAGGCCAGCGTACTTGCTCAGCTTAGAACAGGCATGGCCAAGCTCAACACATACCTGCATCGCATCAAAGCAGCACCATCAGACCAGTGTACGTGTGGACAAGCCAGAGAGACAGTGGACCATTTCCTCTTCCGATGCAAGCAATGGGATCAACACCGTAGGGAGATGCTACAATGTACGGATATCCACAGGGGCAGCCTCTCCTTCTACCTGGGAGGAAAGTCGCCCTTGGATGACAAGGACTGGTCCCCCAACATGCGGGCGGTACGGGCGACGATACGTTTTGCCATTGCCACAGGTCGTCTGAGGACTGAACAACAACAGAATGAAGCAAACTAACCTCACCATCCCAAACCCCGACTAACACCCCCCTTCATCTCGTGCCACATGGAGTAAGCGCGCTTCAGCCGCCGAAGATAGGACGTTGGACACTTGGAGACTAGCCTTCAAGCCAGCTTACTTTTCGTGCTACTAACCCACGAGCACCCGCAGCAGAGAGGGCAAGACTGTAAGGAGTTAAGCCAGAAAAGGAGGATGTACGGCTCATGAGACCAGGATCCATTTTAGGATATGTATTAGTAGATTGCATGATAGTTGCCCTTTCGGGTTAGGCCCGCCGGGCGGAATAAAGTGTGTGTGTGTGTGTGTGTATGTGTGTATCTACAATGAAAACAACTCTCCCCACACCGTAGCACCTCATCATCTCACCATCCCCCCTAAACCCCAGCCATCAACTTCCCCCCCCCCCCCCCCCCCAACCCCTTTAACCACACCACCTCCTCCCCAACCATCTCTCCACCACCTACACCCTCCACCACGACCTTCCCCCCCCCCAACCCCCAAATCAACCTCACTCCCCCTCTCACTCGCCACACTCCACCCCCCCGAACCATCCCCCACCCCACCACCCCCAGTCGACGACGACGACCCCATCCCCCGCCCCGTCAGACTCAGCGCTGCCATGCTGTACCCCCTCTCCCACTCCCTCTCCCTCTCACTGTTACCGCGCGAACCTGCCCCTCCCCTTCTCCCTCCATTCTGTTGTGCTTGCCGCGCCAGTGGAGCTGCGCGTATCACGATCCGCACTTCGTTTGCCCCTGTTAGACCGGAGTGGGCGTCTTGTTGGGAGGAGGAAGTAGTGTTGGCGGTGGTGGTGGTGGTGGTGGTCGAGTCGGAGCCGGCGGCGGCGGTTGGGATTCCGCCCGCTGCGTGAGGGGCGGGGGTACGTTTCGTACTGGGGCTGGAGCCGGAGCCGGGGCCGGTGCGGACCGTGGGGGAGGGCGCTGCGCCGTATCTTGTTGTTGGTGGTGGTCGGGGTTGGGGTGGGGGTACGGTGAGTTGCTGTCTGATGTTGGCTTGTGCTCGGGCGCGGCGGAGCTTCTGTGTGCGCCGGCGGAGCAGGAGGGCGGTTAGTGTGAGAAGGAGGAGGAGAACTAGCGCCGCGCCGGTTGCGATGCCTGCTATTTGGGCGGTGGTTAAACGGGGGGTTGTTGTTAGCGGTTGCGGCGATGGTGGTGGTGGAAGCGGGTTGGTTGGGGTTGCTGTCGGTGAGGAACGTGATGTCTGTAATGAGGTTGATGAGCTAGGAAGAGGCCGGGTTGTTGTGAGCGAGTTTGTGGGAGATGTTATGGAGCTGCTGGGCCCTCGGGAGGCTGTTGTTTGCCGAGACGACGATGTAGTCGACCTTGTACTTGGTGGAGATGGCAAGGTTACCGTTTCTATCACGGTGACCGTAGTCTTAGCATTGGGGGCGACAAACGTGGTCGAGAACACGGTTGTGGTGACTGTCGCAGTGACAATCCTTGGGCTGAAGACTGTTGTCGTCACAGTGACGGTAGTAGTGACAGTGACCACAGCTCGCTTCTCGTTGATCCGGTCAAGAACCGATGATACAGACGATGGCGCAGTTTGACAAGCAGTCATAAGCGCCTGTCTTCCTTTGGAGAAAGCCGTGGCGGTAGTGATAGATGTTTGCGTCTGTTGGAGGGGGTCGATAATAGTGATCACCTCAACCTCGGTAACAACAACGACTTTTGTTTCCGCCGTTCCCTGAAACGACGTAACGGTAGAGGTAACAGCTCGTGTCCTGGTAGTTGTTGAGTCTGTTGGGGCCAGTGTAGCATCCCTGTGTCTCGGTGTTAGTAGCCTAGAATGGTGGCCCGGCTGACACAACTGACATGGAGGATGACTGAGTGCAGTCGTCTTCCTGGCATGGCGTTCCATCTCTTTTCTTATTACGACTTTCCCGCGCCCAGTAGGTCCTGTATCCGTAGTCTGCTCCCTGTAGGCCCGCGGCCGATTCTGGTTTTGTCACTCGCGCCGTCCCTTGCTCCGTCCTTTGGGCTGGTCGTTTGGGGTTGCATCTGTCACATGACGGCTGGATATCTCGTTTTATGATAGAAACGTTGCTGAAAGCGGTAACAAGGCCTCTCACGAGAAGGGGTCCGAGGCCTCGTGCAACTAACATTTCTTATAAGTTCATCGTAGAGGCAAGACGCCGTGGAACAGGAATCAGGGTGTCCTATCATGATAAATAAGAAGCTAGCAGGGGGCAGGGCCTTGTTGACGGCCCGGGTATATCAAGCATGTAAAAGGCAAATAGTTTCTTGATTTTGAGCCGGGTAAGACTCTATTATGACTCTACTAAAGGTAATATAGGCGACACCTGTGGGCAAAGATTCTTTAACTCCCGGATCAAGAGCGGGACGAACAGGGTTCAGGCATAAAGCCGTATGTGATGAACGTTCTCAAGCCAATCCCATGCCAGAACCAGACGAGGACCAGAATCTAAGACCAGAATGACGCCGGGTGGGATGTGAACGGTGACTCGAAGCCATCTTGCGCAGGATCTAAGGCATAACGAGGAAGCAGCGAACGGTGGGGTCGACTGCCAACACTCCATAAATAGATCAACAACGATTAGCTGTGCCCATAAAGATGGGACCGGCATCCGGATGTTCCTCTCACAAGCTTCTGGAAAACGGAATGATGAGGTGGGATGTGGCCACGCCTCCGCCAGGCTGGGCCCAATGGTATGACAAGGGCTACTGTAAGGGGAAGCGCTGCTGACGGGGGTCGGAGGAAGCCTTCCCTGGATTTTGGCCTCGTGGTAGTACATGGCGTTGCTGGGAGTCTGTAATTGAACCCATTAACTTGAGGCTCTGCTGTTACACGGCGGGATGCAACGTCTGGTCGGGGCCCAACAACGTACGACGGCTACGCTTGTCAACCCAAGTATACCATCAGAACCTCAAGGCTAAAAGTTCTTTGGCCTGACTCTCGGTTCGGGCGCTCAACTTCCCGGATCCTTCCAAGCGACGAGAAATGAAGTCATGGAGGTCAGGGCTCGGACGGATCTACGTACGGCCTTTGCATAGACTAAGAGCGGCCCGAACTCGTGGTTCATGCATATCATACACCCATCTGGTGGCAGCTGTGATCTTCGTTCTCGGGCTGTCAATTGCCCACCCCTTTTTGCCAAGCCCTCCCTGGCGTCCACACCGAAGAAGCGTGTGTAAGTCAACGAATCCAGCATTTTCTGGCAGGCCAATAACTTTCAGATAACAGTAGAATCACACGGATCTTGAAGTGTATGCTAGGTCACCCAGCTCAAGTGATTGGCATTTGGGAAAATATGTAACGTGATGTCGTAAGTCGTGAAACGGGTATTCTTCACCATGCATCCAAACCTCTCACCCCAATGTATCTTTCTCATAAGGGCTTCTAGCCTTTCAACTCTGCCTTTTCAGGTTCGCTCAACCCTGATACTGGGCTCAACCGCTTTGGACTCTGCGGGTCGTTCATCCCAAGGACGAAGCTTTCCTGGCTATCCACCAACCCTCCGCTGTAACACCGACTCCCCCGACTATACCGTGCCTCGGCCCTTGCCAGGTAACCGCTCCGTCTATTTTCCAGATCACCGTAACCAGCGAACTGTTCATAATACGCCTCAAACCCAACCGAGCTCCTCCTCCTCGAAGCCATCCCATCATCTCCCCGGTTCTCCTCCCCCAACAACCCCGTCCTGTCCTCTCCCTCCAACCGCCCCCGACTCCTCGGCGCCATGCCACTGACAAAACTCCTCAAACTCAATGTAGTCGGCGTACGATGCATAGCCATCGCCGGCGGTGTCGGCGGGACAGGCGGAACCATAAACACCCCATCCCCGGTTCGCCCACCCGCACCCACCACACTCGCCCTTCTTACTCCCCGGCCCCTCGACGCCCGCCTCCCTCAATCCACGGATACCCATGATAGCTCACCACACTCGTCAAATCCCCACTCCGGCTTGGTGGGGAAGAAACACCACCCCCCCCAAAGACTAGCGGTAAGGGGAAATTGGCAGCACATGAGACGGACGTCGGAGAGGAGAGGCCAAGTCATTTCCGAGACTATCGC